AACACCTGACATTCTGGAAAGTGTACTAGATGCGAAAGATAGGGAAAACAAGAATTTACAGCGACAACTACAAGATGTTGAATCTAAACTTATGGTATATACTTACGAAAACAATGTTGATTCAATTAATCTACAATTACAACTGGAAGAAAAATGTAAGAAAGTTCAACAACTGGAGGACAAAGTGGCTCGCCTCGAAAAAGTTAGTTTATTTTATTATATTTTTTTGTTCTTATATTTTTGAAAATATATTTTGTATATAATTCTATTATATAAGTTTTATTTAAATATTTAATCATAATACATAATCTAATTATTTTAGTTCTTTTTTAAATTATATATATATATATATATATATATATATATATATATATATATATATATATATACATATTGTTAATGATAACTAATAAATCTATCTATCTAACATAATTAACAATGATTTTATCAGACTATTAGTAACAGTAATTAGATATAAGTAGCCGGTAAATATTCGAATGCTATTGAACTTGTAAGTGTTACATACACATTTGAACTTAATTATGTACCCTACCGCAATGTATCGTATTCGGTACTGGATTGATGTAATAAGTCCGAAAAAACATCAAACGCAACCACAACAATGTTCAAATTGATGATCGTAATATTTTTTTATTTTTTAACTGTTCATTAGAAAAAAAAATTTGTTCGGTCCACGCTATAAAGTGTCAGTAACATTTTTAGAAAGGCAAAGAAAAACCGTTAATAGAAAGAAATTACAAAGAAAAAATATACTTCGAAAAAAAGTTGCAATATTTACTACATTGTGTGCTTGCAATTAGGTAAATTTTTATAAAGTCATTAATATAAAACGGTAGGATTGCGATCAGAATCTCGAGTAATAATGTAAAATTAACGTTATAATTGAGATCCCGGCGTCACTGAGTACTGAAAATGAAAAAGGATGAGCAACCATGTACACCTTATTGAAAAAAATCATATCACAAAGTTACATAACAAAATCATGTAAGTCAAGTAAATCACGTAACACATTGTTCGAAAACAGTACATGATTTTTTAAATCGCATAATAAAAAATCACATGATATTAAAAATAATTTTTTCATCTACCATGTGATTTTATCTAATTTTAAAGAATGATAAAAATAGAAGAAAAAAAACACACCATCGTGTGACTTTTCAAATTACGTGATTCTAAAAAATCACGTACTGATTTGGATCCGTTCCTGATTTACTTGTCTTAATTACATGATTCCGACTTATGTGACTTTGTGACGTAATTTTTTTCAGTAGAATAATTAGATCTTATGATATATGATCAGAATATCAAGAAATAAAGTTAATATTTATACATTAAACTTTTATCTTATTTTGAATATATATTTTCTAATAAACATTTGATCACGCTTTACAAGAAAGAGAAATTGTAAAGTCACAAACAAAGTAATCAAGTTTACATTTTTGTATTATATTCGCTATTCATCATTATCAGAAGAGGTATCGCTTTATCACAATATACGTTATACAGTAAGAGGTATTGTATTGCGTTAAATGCAATTTTCTACATTTATATTTATAATAAAGAACAGAGATTACCGCGATAAATACACTGTTGTCACTCGTAACATTTATATATGTTATATGTATAAGTATATAGATAACAGATAAAAGAAGAAAATCAGTTATAACAAGTAATAGGGATTTCCAGTATAGATCAGTTTCTCAATTAAAATAAAACTATATTATAACATTCTAAACACAAAATAATTTTAAATAAAACAATTTTGTATTGTTATGAGCGGAATTATAAAATCTTTGATTATCATATAAATGTGTGTACATACATGTTTTAAAATATACAAACAACATCATCATATATTTATAATATAATTATGTATGATATAAATATATTTATAATACATATATCATAATTCTAAAAATTCATTATAATTTCTTATAATAATTGCTTACAATATCAATATTAGGCACGTATCTTTTAAATTAAAAACATATTTTAGAAATAAAAAAAGTTTGTTTTAAATATATTTAAAAGAATTCGATTTTAACATTATATAGATGCACTATATTTTATTATCAAATATTATGTATTGCGTTGATATTTATTTTATATATATGTAAAAGTGTATTCTATTCTACGAAAAGATATATTATTTGTCAGATTTTTGTATTATTTCGAAAATAATGGTTAGTAAGTGTAGGTTTTAATTACGAAATATAATGTAAAACTTGATTTGTATGTTTATTTAATATAATTTTTTTAATTATGATTTTACAAGGCAGTTGCGAAATTTTAATACAATCGTATAATTTGATTAATATAATCAAATATAATCAATTAAATAATTTCGCGACTCTGATTTATCATAATCTATTAATTACTTCAAGACTTTGCTTTTTCATAAAATATTGTAAATCTTATAAGGTATCAAGAATAATTTTAAAGATGTTAAAGATATATGAGAATTATTTGATAAAGTTGTATCTCTACACAAAAACTGCATTAATCTATAGATCATCGATATAAATTAATTTGAGAATACCTTGCTGCAAACAATTGTACAGTGATATGATTAGTAATAATAAATCTTGCAAGTTCTAATCTATAATATCTATAATATCTTGTTGTCACTCTCTCGCGTATTTTTTCTAGATCTATTTAATTATTGATTTGTTCTAACACGTAACGTTTTGTGTAAGCAAAGATACATCTGATAACATAGTTTTTGTATGAAAAAATTACAGCATCGTCATTGACAAACCTGTGATAAGATATCAATATATTATAGATAATCTCTCGGTAACAAAAACCAAAACGTATTTAATAAGATTTCATTTGATCGAGAACTATTCGTGCTAATTGTTTATGTGCTGTGAAAATCGGATACATCTATTGTCTACGATAGACGTGTGACCACAAGTCTTTCTACCATAATTATTTTATTTAAAGGTGATTAAAATATTAAGAAAAGTGGTGAAATAGTTATTTGGTGAAATCATATTATTGTGGATATAATAAATTTTTGCTTATTTATACAGACAAAATTATAAACATTTATAACATTGTGAAAATAAAATATAAACCATGAAAAAACAACAATATTAGCTATAAATGAGATGACACTTTTAGTAAAGGTAAGTATAATTAACTTTTAAGTAATTGAAATTTTTCTATTTTCGAAAAAAAAAAAAAACTATATGTTAATAATATAAGTTTGCTGTAAGAAATTTTGAAAGCATTAAATCTCACGGATAGTTCTCTCCATTTGATTTAATACGTACATGCATAAATCTGTTCAAAAAGTATTTTAATATTTTGTCAGGTTAATTTTTTTTTTATAAAATAATTGAAGCAAATTGTATTTAAATAAAATACAAGGTAAATATTTATGAGACATACTCGATTACGTTACTAATTAAATAAAAAATTTATGTGTTCACGGATATAATGTGTTCACGAATATCTTTATACAGTTCGAAATTCACAAAAGATTATGCAATCCTTTCAGATGAGGATCTCGCGGGAATATTTGTTCCTTTGCACTCTAATCACATTACTCTGCGGAAACGTAGCAGACAAATCCCCTCTTTACGATGGTAATTCTACCTACTTTATATTTAATATACACATATTTCGTATCGAGATATAATCTTTCAAAAAATATTTATAAAAAAACGTATACCTATATACACTAATACATAAAATTATGTATGTTTGCATTTTATATGAAAAAAACATACATTCTCTTCAATATTTGTCTATCAATATTTGTCCGTGTTTAAAAATAAATTTTAATGTTACAAGATTATATGTATAAAATATTAGTGTTATAAAATTAAATGCTCACATAAATTCATAATAAACTCACGTAAACTAATAATAAAAAATGTTATCTATCTATAATAGCTATAAGCACATCTTTAAGTTGATGCGCGCGATTACTAATTCTAGCTAATTTTGTGTGAGAATTTTGTAATGTATCATTTTTTAAATTGTTTCGTATATATAGTTTTAAGATAACTTGTGTAATTTTCCAGGTACACTTATACGAAATCTGGATATCTCACAAAATGACTCCATCGACTATAGACTACCAACAAATATTAAACCCCTTTCGTACGATATTATGTTAAATCCAGATTTTAATAATTTTACATTTTCGGGAATAGCAAAAATTGAAGCTGTAGTACAAAATTCAACTAATACTATTACGCTGCACGTGGGAAACATCAAAATTGAAAAAATGTCTCTTGTGACATACGCGATAAATTCTATATCTGATGTGATTCCGACTTCGTATGACAATATTACTGAAAAGTTTACTATTACCCTTCCCCGAATACTTCTAGTAAATATGAATATGACAATTAGCTTTTCGTACAGTGGAATCTTATCCGACAACATGATCGGATTTTATAAGAGTTCTTATTTCGACGAAAATGGAAAGCTTAAGTAAGTGATATATCAATATATGATCTGTTTTATATCAATAAAAGAAATAATAAAAAAAATATACGCTATAAATGTATCCCAGTAAATGTCATGATGCTTTCTAATAAGAATCTCTACTTAAAACTAGATGGCTAGCTGCAACACAATTTGAAGCGACATACGCGAGACATGCCTTCCCATGCTTCGACGAGCCAAGTTTTAAGGCACAATTCACGATAAGAATAGCAAGAGACGACAGTTATACGGCTATCTCTAATATGCCATTGATAAATTCTACCATATTGTGAGTGTCAAAAAAGTTTAATTGTCGATATACAATATTTTCTTCT